CGTCACTTACTGGAGACAGATCGCCAGGATTTCTTCTCGTTTGCTTTCTTGTCCCTCTAACAATGCACTCAAAGCATTCGGTGTACAGCCCCGACGTCGCATGTCCTCTAAGAGATCCAAGGCCGCCTGGCCTTCACCGTTTCCAGCGTAGCCCACCACCAGCGCCGTCCAGGACACGACATCGTGCAGTGGCATCTTGTCAAAAACTCTGCGAGCGTCTGCCGAGCTCTCACATTTGACGTAGAAATCCACCAGCGTGTTTGCGACGAAATACTCCAACTCGACACCACCTTTAGCAGCTTCGGCGTGTATAGCCATTCCTCTCTCCAGTGAGCGAACTTTTCCTTCACGTTTCCCCGAAACTCGCACAGCCTCCTCTTTTGATGCCACACTTGTGCAAGCTGAAGCTGAAGCTGGATTCGTTGCAGACATAAAGATCGAAACTAATAACACCAATGCTTCGGAGAGGGTACACATCTCCAAGCTGATCAAAGCCAGGCTTGAGAACCAGGTAGATCTACACACTCGATGCAAGTCAGTAGACAACACCAAACTACATAAGAAAACCTTTGCTTTCACAATGTGCGTCGGTGCGTCTTTGAGGCAGTCAGCAGCGATTCCTCCATAAGCTCCAACGAAAGCTTCGTTCCACCAAAGTACCTGGATTTCCAATTAGTTTTTGTTCTTTCGTTTGGAAAAACGATGATAGGTACCTCGTGACAACGACCATAACTCCATCCACACCAGAATTTCCTCTGGCAGCCTAGATTGGCCGTCCTGCCGTTCCTCCAGGCTCTCCACCATCGCTAAAACGATAGCGTTCTTTGATCTAAGCTGGAAGAAAATGAAACATTCAAGCAAAGAAGGCGAAATAAATGAACCACCTTGTAAGCCCAGCACTCGTGAGTTGCCCGTGGATCCAAGACCTTGCAAACAAAGGAATGAGCTAAGATCGCGATTTTCTTCTTTGCAAACTAGAGCTGGGAGAGAAATGCCAATGCGCCTTGTTCATCGTCCACTGTCCAGAGCGGCCGTGGCGATGAACTTACTTCGTTTCATCTCGCCATCGCTCCAAGATTTCGCTCCTCCCTGGCGACTGAAATGCATATACATTGGCGCCAGCGCCGCCGTCCTTCCATCGATTGGCGATCTAGCAAGCATCGCTCCCAGCTATAAAAACCCTAGACGAGGAATCCAAGCAGAAGCGCGATCAGGATAGAAAAAAAAAGAAAAAACTTCCATGCTTGTTGTAAAATTTATTAATCATCATCCTTCTAAATTTAAAAGAGCAAGGGCAACATATTCAATTGAGATTCTTTTTGAGCTTAATGGTGGAGATGAAGACACGTGGGAAAAACAGTTGAGAGTGGAATGTTCTTTTTTTTAGAATAAACCAGTTATTTCGATGGTAAACTTGTTTTTTCAAGCATTTTTCCTGATTGATGAGAGCAGCGAATGTGCAAATGTGGTGAAATGCTGAATTACATAAGAGCTCCTGGAAAAATGCTTTGAAAAAACAGGTTTACCATCGAAAAAACTGGTTTACCCTAAAAAAAAAAAAACGTTACTGTTTTTCCCATCTGTCTTTATCTCCACCATTAAACCTGAAAAGAATTTCAATTGAATATGTTGCCCTTGCTCTTTTAAATATAGAAGGACTAGCAGAAACCCCAGCTCTGCTAGGAGATATAACATACCCAATATAAATAAATCTTCTTTTCTATCTTTACAATGTTAGAAATTTTGATTGTATACAAGGTTAAATTTATCTAAGTTTTGCTACTATTCATCTCAAAAAAAATGCATAATAATGCAATTAGATAATAATGCAAGTGTTGGGGAAGATAAGATCATTTTTAATCATCATTAAATTTGAATTTGAATTTTTTATTGCCTTTATGGAAAGGTACCAAACCCTAAACACATAAACAAGATTGCTGCCATACTTTAAAAGCAATTAAATTTTCACAAAACTGAAGAACTATAGACTACCAAAAAATAATAGGTTAGTTTGGAGAAATTATAAGTTTGATTGCATACTGGGCTAAATTTTTTTATCTGAACTGTAATCATGCCTCTAACTTTCATAGTTTACTAAAGAATAATAGAACCTTTATTATATGTCTGGTTTTACATTTAAAAATATACATAATTAAATCTACCTAGATATTCACACTACATTAGAGGTGTTAAAAAGACAAAGATAATAATTATATTAAAGATATAATGTTTGTATTAAGAAAAATCTGTACTAATGCTTTATGATAAAATTATGCATTCATGTCTAATATATGACATGGTATCTAATATGCTATAAGCAATTTCATACACATACAAATATCAAATCCATTTCTTAATAATATCTCAAAAATAAGAAAAAACCCTTTTATACTATCAATTAATCTTCTTGCTCATAATCTTACTGTAGTCTATCAGCAGCTTTACATGAGTTTTATTGTTTGTCTCAATATTTATACAATGATTTATTTGCTATCTTATATTATATTATTATTATATAAAGGTAATAAAACATAAAATTCAAATTTAATGATGATAAAAAAATGATCTTATCTTCCCCAACACTTGTATTATTGTGCATTTCTCTGGAGATGAATAGTAGCAAAATTTAGATAAATTTAACCTTGCATACAATCAAAAGTTCTAACATTGTAAAATTAGGAAAGAAGATTTATTTATCTTGGGTATGCTATATTTCCCAGTAGAGCTGGGGTCTCTATTAGTACTTTTTATTTAAAGTTGCTATTTAAAAAGTTAATGGTTTCAAAATAAAGCATAATAATGTGTTATATTTTTGAGAATGATACAACTCCACTAAGAAATATAGACAATAATAATTTTAATAATAATATAGACAATAACAATTTTAATATTGATATTAGATATTTAATAAAATATTATTATACCTCTGAAACCTTTCCAACCAGAACATTCTTTAGCAAAAGAACACATTTTATAACTCATAATGCATAAGATAACCACTATGAAATTTAAATGATGAAGAGACAGAATACATGGGAAAGAAAAACATAGAATGAGGAAAGCTTATAGAAATAAGAGTTTAAAATATTAAATGACTGGTTTATTTGAACATCTCAAGAAATGGTTTTAGGCTGAAAAGTAATAGAACAGCTCCCAATTGAATACCCATGAAAGAAGCAGCAAAAATGTACCATTATGAATTAGATTGAGGTTATCTAAATGCAGGTTGATGTTGAGAAAAATTACATGAATCCCAAAAAGTAGATATAATACATAAAGAAATAAATAGAGGATATCTTTGAAATTACATAAATTGGCTGTATTAAAATGTAATAAGAATTGAATGTGAACACAATTAAAAGTATAAATACAAAGATGAAATATTATAAAATATAAATTATTATTTTTATATATTATATATTATATTCTTTTAATATGAATTTCAGAACAGTAATTAATGAAGAAATTTTTCTTATGAAATAATGTATGTTTCTAGCTAAAACTAAACTGTTATTACTAAATTAGTATTTAACAGAAAAAATATTTTGCTCATTTATTTCACAATGTGCCACCTTTTACTGGTGGAGGCTCGGTCTAATACACATTCTCATCCTCTAGGTCTCAAACTTCAACTGTTGCATGATGAAATATCACCATTGTGATCATAGATTTGTGATGCATACTTGAATGGAGTTTGGGAGCCTTTGGTATGGCAGTCTATACCTACACAAAACTTATTTCATTTTCTCAACATTGAGAGTTCTTGCTGCAGTATATGGATGGGCTCACTGCAAGTAAAATGCAAGTCAATCATCCTACTTTTCTTCTTCTTTTGTACACTAATTCCATGTTTTTTGTTGTAGATTTTCTATCATTACAGAATTGAAAGGCAGAGAGTTTATGGTTGCGATATTCTTGCAGTGGTCTGGGTGGGATAAAATCCTAAAATTTTGTATTATATAGCTGTTTTACAGTTTTGGAGCCGATTCAAATATCCAGTGTTTGCTCAAAATTTCCCAGCGAGGAGCACATTGGTGATGGAGCAGCTTTGTGCACTGGCCAGTGAAAAAAAGCATAGATTACAACTTTACCTTTTTCTTGTAGATCTTGCATAACATTATAACCGTTAAAACAACACATATACAGTGTTCATGTAGAGAAGAGATCACTCATGAGAGAGACTTACAGCCTACTACCACTGCCAGTAACATTCCCTTCCAACTTCTAACTTCGAAACACTAATCTAAATTCTAGAATTTGAATGTAATATGAAAATAAAATATTTTCTTTCAAGACTTATTGTCATATAAATTCAAGAAGTACATAATTAAATTTTTTTCATGTAGATAGTGTTTTGTAATTTTACATCAAGCTTAAAATCTCTGTCATCCGATTTTTAAAATTAATTATACCTAATATTTAAATATAATAGATATCTGAATATATAAATTTTCAAGCTTATATCCCTGTTTTCTCATAATTTTTAGAAAATTGGTAGATTGAAGGTAATATGGATATAATAAATATTTTGTATAGTGGAGGATGTGCCACAAAAGACCAAGTTCATCAATACAACATCATAATCCATGATAATGTGTATCTTCTTTTGACAAAATATAACTCTTTTTAAATTTTAATCTATAATTAATTTCCCTCTTTATGGAGTGAATAGGTTTTAATTACTCAATCTTCGTTAAATGTAATTTGTAAGGAAAAAGTTGTCTACAAAGCTTTAAGTATGATCTTTCCAGATCTCAATGAGTCCCATTATGAATACTTTATAGACTTACATAGCAGCAACTATTACTTTTAAAAGACAAACAATAACCTCAAGTGTTGTGAACAGATTTCCAGAACTCCACCACCCGTAAGTAGAGCTTTAGAGTATTATATGGATAAAAAGTTTCTTTGCCCAATACCTTTAGCTAACAAACACCAATAGTATCAAAATATATTCTTTACTACATATAAGGGAAGAAAACTTTTCATAAACATGTCTTTTCCATGAGAAGTGGCCAAGCAGTCATATTAGTAAGACCAGTTTATTTTGCAGCCTTCAATCTAAAGCTATAATGCTTTTGGCAAACATGGAGTACGTTGTCTGGTTGCACACACGAATCCCTACCACCAAAAGCGTTGCATCACCCTTTAGGCCTGGAAAACCTTCTAGAGAAGAACACTCAGCGTCCTTTTGACCTGGACAACTTCCTGTTGAAGAACATACACAATGGCAAGCTTGACTTATGATTTCAGCACATTGCTAATCTTGAAATTGTCTGCATTAATTTTAGAAAGATGGAGGAACATGGGGTCCTGAAAATGCCATTCACAGAATCCATAGCAGTGAAGGTTATATAAAATTTAAAGAAAAAGTACTTATAATGGCAGCCTCCAAAGACACACATAGTTGGCTGAGTTCTTAGAATCTGGTGATGCTTGCAGGCTTCTCTAAACTCAAAATAAGGGAGATCACGACCCATGAGCGAAAACACTAAAAGTGTACCTGATAGTTACTTGCTGTAATCAGCGTGAATCTCATACCTTCTTGGAAACTCTGTAAATCATAGTTTCCAGCAAGCTCCTGATGCATTGTATTGCTGTGCAAACAGGACTTAGTTAAAAAATAAATGAAGACCTTATTTTTAACAACCTTATTGTCTTGTGCCAGAAGTGAGACAAATTAAATGCTAGACTGCAACTCTTCTTGATGATGCTGCTGTTCTCAACATTTGGTCCATGGTCATAAAAGCTATGCATGTCCTCCAAAGACCTGTGATGAGAAACATTTGTGGCAATCC